ACGCTAGCAGGGAAAGCACTAGCAGCCTCTACAGCACCTAAGCTAGACAAACGAGAGTAATAGCCGTAACGATCAACACTAGAGTCATCAGCATACATCACAGAAGCAGATCGTACAACATTATCTAACTCTGTGTCTAACTTTGCGGCAGACATGCGATACAACTGCATGCCAACAGTGCGGACAAGTGAGGCCCAGTCTGGGGCAGAGCGGGTGGGGCCAAACTGGGCGCGGTAGCGGTTAGTAAGCTGCGCAAAGCACTGACCCGCAGGGTGAAGGCGGCCACATATGCGGTCTTTGTGCGGCCCAGTCTGCACCCAGTTCTGGGGGGGGTGCTGGGCCAGGCCACGCGACGTCTAGGCGGCCCCCACAGCTGCTGCTGGGTCTGCTGGCGCTGGCCCTGGAGTTGCTGCTGCCGATGCTGTTGTGGCTGCTGCTGCTGCTGCTACTGCTGCTGCTGCTGCTGCTGCTGCTGCTGTTGTTGCTGCTGCTGCTGCTGCTGGGACGCCCCACTACCTCCTCCTCCACTGCCCCCACCTCCACCTCCACCACCACTCCCACCCCCTCCGCCGCCGCCACCACCACTCCCGCCGCCCCCCCCACCACCGCCCCCTCCACCACCTCCACCACCGCCCCCTCCACCACCTCCACCGCTGCCCCCTCCGCCACCCCCACCACTGCCACCTCCTCCTCCGTTCTTATCGCTCTTCTTGCCCCCTTTGTTGCCAAAGGCAACACTGCAACCTCGGATGCAGTGGCAACAGAGGCCGAGTCGACAGAAGGGGCAAGGAACGAAGGGGCACACCCCGTGAAGATGGGGGGGAGGACGGTACTAGAGGCAGCAGCAAGGGAGCGGGCAAGGTCCTCAACAGTAGTGAGCCTCTCCGCAAAGAGGTCAATAGTGAGGGACATGGGGTTGATAGTGAGAAAGTGGTAACGGGCAGTTGCAAAGCGGTCACGGAGGCGGGTGGAAAGGAGGTACAGTGTCATCCACATCGTGGGGGATTGATGGCAAGCAGGCCGGGGTCAGGGGCAGTACAGCGGAGCTGAGCATCAAGCGAGCACAAGTGCAGAATGAGGTCAGCAACACGCGGAAACGAATGAAGGTCGGGGAAAAGGAAGGGCAGCACAAGACGGCCGAGGGACGTAGTGGATGGGGTGGAGTGCCATTTGACTACCGCGTCGAAAAGGCCCTTGGCTGTCACCTCCTGTTCGAAGTGATGCTGCTCAGACAGTGGTAGGAGGTAGGTGATGGCAAGCACGGTAGCGTCGTCCCGCGCTGCCTAGCGATTGGCCGCCAATTGCGCCTTCTCAAAGCGAGCCTCATCTACCTCCGACGGGGAAGCACCTAGGGGGTCGGGATCCTTCGAGGCAACGAGCTTGCCGGTGGCATGCTCCAGCAGGCGCATGTCGTTCTCGATTCTAGACCCTAGGTATAGCTTAAGCTTACGAAGCCATTCTGGAAAATCGACCGGGCGGCCCTCTGGATCAACGTGCGAATTCGCGAGGTAGACATAGTCGGGTACGTACAGCTAGTGCAGAGGGGTACTGACTGGTGCGTTCTAAAACGTTTGAGTGCGGTTCTGTGTGGTTAAATACGGTTAAGTGCGGTTTTGTGCGGTTGAATGCGGTTGAGCGTGGTACTGCGCGGTTAAGTGCGGTTCTGTGCGGTTGAATGCGGTTGAGTGCGGTACCGTGCGGTTGAGTGCGGTACTGTGCGGCTGAATGCGGTGGAGTGCGGTTGGGGGCTGTTCCAGGGTGCAGGTGATAGGTAGGGCGGCGGGTGGGGCAACAGGTGGGGTGGCCGGTACAAGGTGGGGCGGCGGGTTTAGGTCATGGGGAGGGTGATAACTGGTGGGGCGGCGGTTTCAGGGCGTGAGGAGGGTGCTAACGCATGGGGCAGTGGGTGGGGACGATTTCTGACCGGTGGGGACGATTTCTAACTAGTGGGGAGGTGGGTTTCGACGGGTTCCAAGTAAGGCGACGGTTTCAGCCTGAATGGGCGACGGGTGAGGCGACGGGCGCGGGTAGCGGGCTCCTCCCCTACTCGCGAAAGGTCGCGACTTACGTGCGCGTGGGTGCGCGTGCGTCTAGGGCTGCGTGCGCGGGTCTGACGCGCGCTAGAGGGCTGGCGGGCAAATCGGGCGGGGCCTAACGAGTGACACGCGGGGCAGAAACAGGTGACGCAAGGGCCAAAAAACAGGTGACGCGATGAGCGGAAAACGGGTGACGCACGGGCTACGAGGCTTCCGGGGCGCTTCGAGCCTTAGGGCGCTTCGGGCTAGGTCGGGTCATGGGGCGGTGGGCCCATCGGATCGCTTAGCTCTATACCATGTCAAGAACTAACTAGCGTGAGAAAAATTGACTAAGGAACAGAACGAACAAACAAGATATACGAAACCCTAGCAAGTGTTCAAGCACAAGTGTAACAAATTGTACAACACCTAGACTAACACATAGAAACTATGTAAATATAGTTTGACAAAAGGTATCAACCCATTCATCCCGAAGGACTGCGTTGCTCACCAAGTTCGTAGAGAACGAGGGGAGGTGAAGACCTGTCAGTGAGCCAGACGGAGCCGCTAGACATGGAAGAACAGTGGAGGAACGTGCAAGAACTGGGCCCCCGGAGGGGTCAGCCAGAGAGACTGCAACAGGTGCAGGGAGTGGTGTGACTGTGGTATTGTCGCGAAAGAAGCAGCAGGAAGCACCTGAGTCAAGTGTGAAGGTGTGCAAGGCCTCAGCAGGTGCAGTACCAGAGAGAGCAGACTCACTAGCACCTAGAGCAGCAGCCTCTATACCAGGGTCGGGCGGCACACAGAGGCAACTCCCACTGAACACCTCCACCGAGACTGCATCCGCTCGTAGCATCGGTACGCTGCATCGGTAGCGGATAACGCATGGCGTACGGCTGGCGCGGAACTGCATCGGCAGGCGCACACTTCGCGCGAAGGAAGCGACGACCTAGCGTTCGTCAGCAGCTGACGATCTGGTGCACGTCTGCTGCAACATTTTCCAGTCTGCACCTGCTGCATCTTCGTGGGGTTCTCCCCCCGCCTTTCACTCCCTGCCTGTCTCCCTGCCTTTCTCTGTAAACCTTGCCTTTTCCCGTGCCTCGTGCTATAATGGCACAGGGTTGTCCCCGTCTTTGGCAATGATGCCACGCTTTTCTCAAACTTCACCAATTTGCCTTGTGATGCTCTCCCTGCACTCCAGCTGACGTGCGGTAGCATCAGGAGTTGCCGAACTCCGTCAGGTGGAGGGTTGCGCATGTCGATGCACTCCAAGTATGCCGAACACTGCACTTCAAGTATGCAGAAATTCCCACTCCAAGTACGCAGTGCACACCAAGTATGCAGTCTTGTGCACACCAAGGTATGCAGTAATGTTTACTCCCATGTATGTTCTCAATCCTTCCATCAGGTGGTGTCATTCATCAGCAGCAACCCGTCGCACGATACCGCTGCATCCCGTCGCACGATACCGCTGCATCCAAGGATGAGAGATGGCGACTAGCTACATCCTTCCTGCCTACTCCCCCTGCCTTTCGGCCATCCGTAAGCAGGTGAGAAGATCTTCCCTTCATGCTTCGTGACTCCATGTACCATTCCAGTGTCAACAGATACACTCCACACCCCACCTCCCCCCCACCCATGTGCTTCCTACAGTTTCGGGCTGAACCACTTACGAGTCGCTTCCGAACCTTCCGCTAACAGCCGAGCCTGATTTACCCCGCGGTTCTCACCTAGCTCGGCTCTGTCCATATTTTCCCTCATTTTAGACATTCGCATGGCATTCAGTTCTGTATATTTCTAGTCTGTAAGCTCCTAACAGTTGGTCACCGTCTTGCAAATTTGGGATCGTAGGGGGACCTGCATTCACAAAGCGAGAGCTGGGTGCGTAGCTATCGCGTCAATGCTCAGCAGGTAGGTGACGAGAGAGCGACGGACAGCGACGAAGCAGCTAGAGTCGACGGAACGCGACAAGTGAGGGACAATAGTGGACGAGAGCGATAATACTACCCAAATTTGGGATTTGGTAGGCGATAGTAGGTGACAAGCGTGATATTACTACCCAGATTTGGGATTTGGTAGGCGATATTAGGGGACGAGCGAAAGACAGTAGACGACGAGAGTGATAATAGGCAAGAAGCACGATAATAGGCGACGAAAGAGGGATCGTAGGGACGGCGAGAGCAACGATTGACGACGATAGAGCGACGATTGACTACGAGAGAGCGACGGTTAACGACGAAAAGAACGAAAGTAGACAACGATAAAGCAATAAAAAACGATTCGCGATGGCGTAGAGCCGCGACAGCAGAGGCGCGAAGAGAAAGCAATCGTGCGCAGGCGGGACTGACGGCTACGGTAGCGGCGCAAACAGAAACGACGCTGCGAGCAGCAAATGCAAAGCGGCGGCGCCGTGAAGAGGCAGTGGAAACCCATGCCAGTTGCGCTCCGCCTGGATTCACGCTACTTACCGGTGCCCCACCCCCCCCCCACCCCCCCACCCCGGGGGGCCAGCGCCAATGCCACCACCGCTGCGCGCGAGCTCTTTCCGCCGCCTCCTCGACGAGGGACGAGAGCGATATAAATGTCATGCAAAAGACAGTAACGAGCGAGGGACCGTGGACGGCAAGAGCGATTCATTCAAATTTGCGATGGCGGAGAGCCGCGGCAGCAGAAGCGCGAGGGGCAGCGAGAATGGCGGATGGGGCAAGCACGGGCGCGCGGGCGGGTCTGTCGGCAGCGGCAGCGGCGTCGACGGCGGCAGCGGCGGAAATAGCAGCATCGCCACGAGCAGAACAGGCCGGAGTGGCAGCGGGGGGAGTGGGGGGTGGGGGGGGGGGGGGGGGGGGGGGGGAGGGGCTGGCGCGAAGAGGCGGTGGAAGCCCGCACCTGTCGCGCACCACCTGGATCACTTCCTTACCACCGATACCGCCGCTGCCCCTGCACCGGCGGCCCCGTTTCCGCCGCCATGCCCGCTGCCCCGCGCCTCTACCGCTGCCTCTGCGAGAGTCCGCGGAAATAGGCTTGTGCGCGTGCCCGCGGATGGGGGCAGATGGGCCCGCGGATGGGCGCCTGCCCGCGGATAGGGGGGAGTGCAGGTGGGGGCAGCAGCGACGGGCGGCTGTGCGGAGGGGGAAGGGGGGAGGACGGAGCGGGAAGGGGAAGCCCAGGGAGGGGAGGGGAAAGGGGGATACTGGCACGTGTGGATTGGTTTCGGCAGAAACAGGGGGAGGCGTGGCGGAAGGGGGAGCAGGGGGCGGAGCAGGAGGGCGGGGGAGGGGAGAAGGGGCAGACGGTGGTGGGGTAAGGAAGGGCGGGAGAGGGGAATGCGCATGCAATGGGCTTGAGGAGGGGCGAGAGAAGTGGCGTGACTGGAGGAAGAAGGGGGCTGCGGGTTTGGGGGGGAGGGGCAGGTGCGGTGCGGGTGAAGGCAGCAACGTGGGAGAGCATGGGTGTGAGGGGGGGAAAGGAGAGGCAGACACTGAAGCAGAAGTGAGTGAACCGGTTGAAACGCATGGTGGTGCTGGCGAGACAGGCGTAGGGGGAGGTGGGGATTGGGGCATGGAGGAAGGGGGATGGGGGCATGGAGGAAGGGGGATCGGGGCAGGGGAGAAGGGGGAGGGAACAGGGGAGGGGGGAAGCAAGGGGGATGGGGGCAGGGGAGAAGGGGGAGGGAACAGGGGAGGGGGTGATGGAACGGGAGAGGGTGTTGGACGAAGTGGGGGAGCGAGCGAGGAAGGGAGAGAGGGGGGGGAGGAGAAGGGAGGTATTGAGGAGAGAGACGGAAGAGGGCGAGGAGAGATACAAGGGAAAGAAAGTACCAGGGATGTGGAGGGTGGTGGAGGAAAGGGAGGAGAAGGGAGAAGGGAGAAGGGAGGCAGGGAGAAGGGAGGGCAAGAAAGCAGCACAGAGTCAAACTCAGCCGGGCCACTTATATTGGCGTGGAGGCTATGCACAGGTAAGGCATGCAGCAGGTGAGGCGCTGAGTTGATCCCTCGCCATTCAATGCCTCTGAACACCATCGAGGCATGGCTACGTGCGCCATACGCCCTGCCTTGGCGCACTCATGTTCATTTGCCATGCCCTGAAGCTCACCTGCCCGGCACACCTCACTGCACCCACCTCCTCCCCCACGCCCACCTCCTCCCCCACACCCATCTTCTCCCTTTCACCCCCCTCTCTTTTCTCCCACGCACCGCCCCCTTTGCCTTCGCCCCATACCCAGGTTCGCACGTCAGGGGGGTGGTAAAAGGTGAAAGAAGGGGTAATGGTTGTCATTCTGATGTGTGTGTGTTGTGCATGTGGTGACTGGGACGGGTGAGTGTGAGGGGGTGAGCAAAGTGGAGGGGAGAGGGAGAGGGGGATGGTTATGGTGGGATGATGATGTGAGAGTTATGCGTGTGTGTGCGTGTGTGTGTGTGTGTGTGGTTTTTTTTAGTGCGCATGCATGCAGCCCTTAACATTCGAATTACCCCTTATCCAACCCTCCCACCCACCCATCCGCCCTCTCATCAAGCGGACTTGACACAACCCTCCTCGTGTCCGTCCTATCAATTGCAGCATTTCCAGTTTAACCAACCCAACCCACTCACACAAACCACACCCATCCTATCAGATGCCACCACACGCAGAGTTCCAGGGTCAAACCTTCCCCATTCACCTAACCCTTCCCTTCCCTCCAATGCACCATCCTCCAGGCGGTGTTGACACTGCCCTGCAGCCATCCTATCAAGTGCCCCTGCACACAGCATTCCAAGTGTTCCTCCTCCCTCCCCTCCTCCCTGTCCCTTCCACCTTGTCCCCTCAGCCCCATTCTCCCTACAGCCTGATCCCAAGTGGACTTGACGTGGCCCTTACAGCCGTCCTATCAGATGCCACTATACGCAGCATTCTCGTGGTTAAGGCACTATCTAGACACAGCCTGACCAAGGTAGGTGCCAGCTGGTTGATAGAAGCTGAGGTGGGGTGTGGTGCTATGAGGTAACACACGGGGAGGCGGGAAATGGGGAGAGTGCATGCTCGAGGATAATGCGCGTAACCTCCTAGTGCCGCTTTGCCAAGGTGAGTGCAGGCCACCACAGTTAGGGGATTGCAGGCCACCACAGATAGGGGAGTTCTCTCAGGTTATCAACTGTGGTAACCTCGTTTGCTGACTTCACATCGTAACCTCACATGGTAGCCTCACATGGTAATCACATATGGTAACCTCATATGGTAACCTCACTTCATGGCCTCGTTTCCGTGTATCGTAAAAAAGCAACTCTCACTCTACTCTGTTTCAATCTCTTTCTGCCCTAATGCTCACCCCAGCCTTCGCAAGCTTACGGAGGGAGATGAGATTTGCCTTGAGGTCGGGGACAAGGCACGTTGTGCAGCACCACCAGCTTGCCATCCGCTCCCTTAATTGCAGCTCGTCCTGCACCAGCCACTTTTAACGCGTGTCCAGAGGCAGAGCACACCTCATCAATCGGTGCAGTGCGTACGCATCCAGCAGATCCTTGCAGCGCCCGTGTGCAACACTCAATAGTCCACAGGGGGTGCAGCTCTGCTCCAACCTTGGCAGAGGCGTCTCCTTGCTCCCCCTCGTCTCCGACATGGAAGAACTGGCCTGAGGCGCGCTCCTTCTTCTTCTCAGCACCGCCGTTGCCTTTCAGGTTGTCGTCGGACGAATCAGCGACCATGTTCGCGCCATTTTTCTGGTTCCTCCGCGCGCCGCCATCCTGGGGACGATTCTGGGGGGTCCAACCTTCAGGTTTCTTATAACACAAGAACCAGGGATGCCTCTCCCTCTCACAATACCAGCAACTCCATTTTATTTCGCCACCAGCACCCGACTTACCCCCACGTCCAGATTTCGCACCGCGACCCCAATCGTACCTCCTTGTTGGTAATAGGAGTCATCTTCCTTCTTTTCATCGCACCCAGCACCACCAAAGCCACGTCATCTGCCACGTCGGCTCCCTTGCATCTCGTAGACGTTGCTGCCGTTGTTTCCACCCCTCAGTTGGCGGAAACGGAAGTCCTCCAAAATCTTTGTCCGCACCCACTCGAGTGTCCACGAGCTCTGGTTCTGCGGGGCTTAATCCGCTCAAGAATTGAAGCCACGATTCTGCTGTCGCATGAATGCCGTTTCAATCAAGGGTCAACTGGCCGTGCTTGTCTTGCACACTCTTAGCCCCCTCCCCACCTCTTCTCCCAACGTGGCATTTGCCTCCACACCTTTGACCTACCTCACATCACGCCCTGCCATGCCTTATACCGCCCGCTTTCGCATGAGCGCCGCCGCCATTCTGGGCAGCGATGGGTATGGAAATTACTTGTGAGAATTCTCAAAAGTGATTTCCTACCTCACATGCCGCCCTGCCAGGCCTTATACGGCCCGCTATCGCCATGAGTGCCGTGGCCATTTTGGGCAGGGACAGGGCTGTGCTTGTACCCCTTGCCCTTCCCCACTCCTTGCCATTTCTCCCAGCGTGGCTCGGGCCTTGTCTACACCACACCTTCCACTAACCTCACATCTCGCCCTACCAGACTCAAAGATAGAGCCGTGCTTACCGTGCAGTGCCTTCACCCATTCCACCTCTTATCCATGCATTCTCCCATCTCTTGTCTTCCTACCAGGCCTTCAACCTCTCGTGCTGTGCTCCCGGGTGAGTGCCGTGGCCATTCTGGACGACAATGAAGCGCACAAGCTGCTCAAGAGCGTGCGAGCAGAGGCAGAGAAAGCGAGGGAGCTGTTGAGGGATGGGCAGGAAGGGCAGGAAACAGTTGATGCGTGAGTGGTGGGAAGAAAGAGCAGGGGCTGTACACACACCCATGGGACGCACAGGCTGCTCAAGTGCTTCCTGGCAGAGGCAGATGGATGGGGGGGTCACTGACTGCAGTCAAATGCCAAGTCCTGCCACAAGGGAGAATTTCCAACCTACACCCATATGGTAGTAGTTAGGGTTGTGTTGTATGCCCCTTCATACAGCGAAAAAAACGTGATGTACATGTCAAGTTTGTAACTTCCCTCCGCGAGCTAATTTGGTACGCGTTGTAGTAGATGAATAACTATCGATGCTGTTTTAACTTCGCAAATGATGTAGAAAGATGCATTGATGTTATTTCTAAATCATATGTAGAGGTTGACTTCTGCTGCGTTGGTGTGAGGAGATTTATTCGTTGCCGTGAAGTTATTCTAAAGCGTAAATTTACGAAGTGCTCGAGCTGGCTGGTTCGGCCTAAAAACTTGCTTCGATCGCCACCGCGTCTTCCGCTACACCTCCAAACCTAGCTAACCCGTTTTCCTCGCCTAGCTCAACCTGCCAGTATATTATGGTTTGGAACCAGGCCCTCAGATTCACTTTTAGGGACGTTGATGTGCATCAGGGTCCCTGTGAAAAAAGGCCTGAATTTTCAGGGTCCCTAAAAAAAAAGGCCTGAATTCTCAGGGTTCCTAAAAATAAAAGCCCAGAGTTTTATCACATAATGCATCTATTTAAGAGAGTAGACCTTACGGAACATTACAGGCGAGGGATTTGAAGCGGGAATCTTACCAATCATTATCAGTTTCCCTAACCACTGAGACAGTTCATCCTATTGGCCGTCTGTGTCGTATTGTTTTTAATTTTGTAATGTGGAAATGTTGGTTGACTGAATCTCTCGGGTGTTTTTCGGGAAGGATTCGGAATGTGCATTCAGTGTACACTTCGATAAAAGTCTGAAACATCAGTGTTAGCTATGAAGTAAAGGCTGAAAAAATCAGTGTCACAAAAATCTCAACACTGAAAAATCAGTGTAGGTACACAAAACTAGGCTGAAAATCAGGAATTTCAGGGAAATTTTCCTGATATCGTAGGGCCTGTTTGGAACAAACATTGGCCATTCCATAACTCTTTTCAGCTTTAAGATTTTTTTGCATTTCAGCTCATTTGTGTAACAAGCCCACTCTAACGGATCACACCCATTTTGCCCAACATGGGCTGCTAGCTAGTAGGCTTGAGTTACGGGAGCCGCGTCGTGGTCAGGAAGTGAGAGCCGGGAGAGGCGTCAGATAGTGGTCAATAGTTGTCGCATCAAAACGACATACAGGGTGACGAGTCAGCGACGGACGGTGACGAAATAGCGACAATTGACAAAGAAAAGGTAGATATTAGGCAACGAGCAAGGGACAGTACGAGCGCGATAGTAGGCGACGAGCGAAAGACAATAGACGACGAGCAAGGGACCGTGGGCAGCGAGAGCGATATGTTCCATTTTACTGGCGGAGAGCCGCGACAGAGGTGCGAGGAGCAGCGGCAGTGGCGCGTGGCGCAAGCGCTTGCGCATAGGTGGGACAGTCAGCTGCGTCAGCGACAAAAACAGCAAGCACAGGCCGGAGCAGCGGTAGCGCCGCCATCGGAGCGAAGAGGCGGTGGAAACCCATGCCAGTGGCGCTCCGCCTGGATTTTTTCCTCTCCGCAGCCACCATCGACGCCCCCGCCGCCAGTGCCGGCACCACCACCCTTGCGCGCGCGCGATCCCCTTCCGCCGCCTCCTCGAGAGCCCGCGCAAATTGGTGTGCGCGTGGTGCTGAAAGAGTGTCGATTGGGGTAGTAGTGATGGGCGGCCGTGTCGAGGGGAAAGGAGAGGCGGAGTGGGGAGGGGAGGCGCAGGGAGGGAAGGGAAAAGGGGAATATGGCCGCGTGTGGTTTGGGTTTGCCGGAATCGTGGGAAGGGATGGGAGGAGGCAGCAGGGGGCGGAGTAGGAGGGCGGAAAGGGAAAGGGGGGGCAGGAGGAGGGGTGGGGAAACGACAGAGGCAGAACGTCAGCATCGCGCAAAGTTGGCCGACCTTAAAATGTACACGGTACCTTTTCCTACGAAAACTTAGGAAAAGCTTCGGAAAAGCTTCAGCGCTCATATTCACAGCTGGGTGGCCAAAGTGACTTAACTGTGACAAACGACCATCACTATGATGCAATCATAAAGTGACGAAAAAGTTGCTTTTGCCACTCTACAACCAATCACACAATCACCCACGTGGAGTTCCGCGTGGTACAACGGGTTTCATTGTGGTTCTCCTTTCCAACAAAGAGACGAAGTCCACGAAATGTTACACTGATCTGACCGAAAGTTTGTACATTCGAGAACCAAACCACCAATCAACAAGCAGCGCGACAATCTCAAGCCAACGAAATGTCAAATGTCATATCTGCTACAGTTTGTTTAGGCTGTAGTGGGGTAGTTACTATGGGGTACAGTAAGTTTAGGGTTTCCTACTTGTACCCAACTTTTTCCTAGTGCAATCACTCTTGTTCATTCTGACATGATATCAGAGCCTAGGTTAGGAACCTAGGACCGCTTAGTCATAAGGGCCCACCCTTCCGCTAGAAGCGCCCTCGAGCGCCCTATCGCCTTAGCGCCCTCGTGCGCCTCTCTGTTAGTGCGCCCTCGCGCGCCTCTCTCTCTCACACTGCCCGTGCGCAGCTCGCTAGCCGCCCGCGCGCGGCCCGTTTTTTCTAGTGCGCGCAGCCCACTAGCCGCCCGCGCGCGGCCCGAGTCGCGCGCGCGTCGACCGTTAGCCGCCCGCGTGACTAGCGCCGCCCACGAGCAGCCCGCTAGCCGCCCGTCGACCGCCCTGCTGGCCGTCCAGCGTGCTGCAGCCCCGCCCGTAGGCCGCCACGTCGCTCTTGTAGACCGCCGCCCGCGCGCGACTGCGTCTGCTGCCCCAGGTCCTGGTGAGGCTGCTGCTCTAGGTGCTG